TTGTCTTCGTTATAATACCCGTTTCAATTTGGTTTTTTTGGCACGTCGCCACCCTGGCCGACACCTTTTTTGCTGTGATTCTAGTTCTGAGTCTCCTCGTTGCAATCATCTTTTTCCACGTTTGGGTCAACGTGTTTACCGTTCCCAGCAGGGATTTCGTCCCCAACCTTATCCTTCTGCCCGTCATTGGCCATCTATTCTCCTTTATTTCCCACAAACGACGCCAAATTGTGTGAGTGAATTTCTGATCACACTGCCAACTTAGAATTCAGCTGGAGAGCACTGGCAGAATAGATGACGCCTGAATGACCTGCAACAGAAAGAGAAGATTCCGGCGGTGGTTCGTCCACCCGAGACACTCCGACGATCAAGTCAGTTATCTCAAAGATAATCAATAGTGCTTAATTCACTATTCAGGATATAAATTGCGTACCTTAGACTCATGGGGGTGCCTCTCTTTTATAGCCAACACTTACCTAATCCTAATAGAAGCCTAGCTTCAATGGACTTAGGATTACTGCTAATCTTTGACTCCTAGTAGGATTAGGATAAACTCTCTAAGAGTCTTATCTTTATCCAAACTGAAGTCATCTCCCATTCTAGGACTCTTGTCCTTTATCCGCTTATCTCGGATTCCGATATCTTCGGAGGAAACCTCGGCCTAGCCAAGATAACCTCGGCATCACGACCAGGACACATGGCATCTCGGCTGACACGTCGGCGTCACCTTGGTCACATGTTGGTATCTCAGAAAATATATCCCCACAACAATCATATAGGCAAACAATTGAGAAAGTGGATGAGGTGGACCTTTGGATTGTTGGACATTTTGTTGACCTTGTGTTTTCTCAGCTATTGACGGGATTTGGACTCCAACAAGACGAGAGGAGTGAGAATAAATCTGCTTTAAGGATTTAGATCCTTTTTTACGTGAGGCCTGAAATCGAGTTTGAAGCAAGTCATAAAAACCTTCCATGGAATGATGAAAAAAAACATCACAATTAACAACAATCAGAGCACAATTGATTGAGCTATGTGGCATGACACGAAATCTTGAGGAACTAATAGTCAATCTATTGCGTTTTATGCTCGTAGTTAATTTCAAAGGATTGATTTATTGGCTAACAACAATAAAAAACAACTGATCAACTAAATCAAGCAAACAAAATGTACCATTCAAACCTGGGTTTAGGCCTATATGCCTGGCCTAAGCCTTAACTTAACAAACATTATCCTTTGACCAAACTTGGCTGTTTGCTATTACTAAGATAAGACTCTAGCCAAACCATCCATGAAATTGGGCTGGTGGTTATCGTTGAATTACCGTGTATTGTAGAGAAGTAATTAAATCACCAAATTAATAAAACTATGTCAACCAACTTTTTATATTCAAATACTTATCAAGTTAAACTAATTACATTAAGCCACTTGAAAAATAGTGGTAGCTGTAGCTAGAATACACCAAGATCAAGCTCAAAGGCAATATAGCTCAGAGGCAAGGTCCTTAAACTCAATATTTGAAACATGTGTTCCGTTGGCTGCTATTCATGAAATAAGCACAAATGGGCATTGTTCATGATGCGCAATGAAATTACATTAACGAAGCAAGCATACGAAAAAATAAAACATTATAATAATCAATCCACATATATATCCTCAATCTTATGCTCATACTTGTGGAGTTTATTAGATGACACATACCTTTGATCTTGTTTTCATATGAGGAGAACATGTACTTTCGATCTCAACACGGTCATCAAAGTGAATGTTTCCCCTGCAAATAAATTGTATGAAGCCAAAACCAAATACATTTGAGTGATCATAAATTACTCCAGGACAAACAACATGTCATGAAATTCATGTGGAATTCACAATGAAATTAATATGGAAAGGCCTCATACTAGACTATGAGTTTTCAACTCTCATCTACATTATGATAACATGTATTTGGCACTTACGAATATGCAGATTTTATAGGAGCATCATATAGAACAGAATCTCCATCTTTGACTGCAACAGAGGTTGTTTTAGTATCATTTTCTACTGCAGTTGGTGGCTTGAGTAGAATAGCTCCAAGATCAGTCTCAAAAGGAGTCTTTTGGTTATCCTGAAAAATGAGTTCTTCTTGGTCCGAGATCAAGTCGGAGAATTTTGATTCCTGAAGAATACTATAAAGTTGCCTTTGAAGACTTTCAACAGGCGATAGATTTGGAGCATGACAGTCCAACGATGGTGGTTCAACTAAACCTGCAAATCATGAGTATATGATCAATATAGATGGGAAATCAAATCAAGAAAAAATAATCCATCTTTTAGGATTTCAACACTTAAAAAGTGGATAAAATTTGAGAGAGATCACAATATTCTTTGAAAGTATGAGATATTAGGCATACTATTAATGCACACATAACAACACTACATTGAACCAATTACTTCATTTAAAATGTTTATTTATGCTGTGTTTGGTTGAAGGATTTGAGGAGAGATTTGGAAAGAAAAATGGAAAAACAGGTGAAATGTGAATAAAATATACCTATATTTCACCTAGTTTCACACACTTATTCCTTTCCAAATTTCTCAACCAAACACAGCATTAAAAAGCAAGTGACCTAATAGAAGGATAAGTGGAACACTAGGCCTTTCAATGCTTAATCCAATACATGTCATAATCTTAGTCATTTAGTAGGGAATGATAGTAGCATCAAACCTTTTGAGGATCAATGGATGCCGTCCATATCAAATCCATTGAGGGGAAGGGATCTAAGCAGTTTTTTCCCTGATATGAGGGTAGAGCATTTTATCGATCAGGAACATAAATGTTGGCGAGAGAATTTGCTTCGACTCTTTTTTTACAGATTCTAGTCTTAATCATATTTTGGCCATTCATATTCCAATTACGTCTTTGGAGGATAAAGTGGTTTGGAGTCTTCTTAAGAGTTGGGAATATTCAATTAAATTTGGCTATAGACAAGCTTTGATTAGACAATTCCTAGATTATTGTCAGTCAGATTCGAATTTCTCGGTGTGGAAAAGATTGTGGCAACTCAAGTTATCTCCCAAATGGGTTTTATTTGTATGGAAATGTTTCCGTAATATTCTTCCAGTGCAAGGGGAATTAAAAAAGAGGGGGGTGTTAGGCCAAGTTTGGCACGTGGCCAAAAAATTACTCAAAAAGTTAAAAAGTTATCACTATTTATCAAAAGTCAAAAATTACGGCTGCATAACTCCCAATCTTAATTTTTCCATCATTTTTTCATTCATTGATTTTATTATACAAGTTTTTAATATATATATTTTCCACAAAAAGTCAAAAAGTTAACCCAAACAACCATATTTTTTTCTCAACTTTTTAGTCCAAAAAGTCAAAAAGTACACTTATTTAGGACATTCCAAACAACCCCTTAGTTGACACTTTGAGTGCTTGATGTAATAATCAAGAGGAAACTCTTGAACATTTGTTTTTTGAATGCCATTTTTCACAAAGGGTGTAGCGAGGATCTGTGTTGGGTCTTGATTTTAGTAGTGGTAATCCAATGTCATTTTTTATGTGGTTTAAGGGTTGGATTGAGCAAGTGAAGGACAATGAGATTATAGTTCAATCTATGGCTGTTTTGTGGGCAATATGGCTGCAACGGAACAATTTTGTATTTAATCATAGCCCAAAGACTGTTGAGAGCACAATAGGTGATGCACGGGAGTTCTTTACATTAGTCATAAATAATGCACAATTTCATTCATTTGCACAAGAAAATGATAGTTTTGATTTTGAGGCTACAGATTCTAATGTATGTGTTTTGCCGACAAAAGATGAAATCAGTGATTTCCCAGGTTCATGGACGACATTATTGATGTGTCTTGGAAGTCTTCAAACACTAGAGCAGGGATAGCTTGGCTCTGCTCAGATGGAAACAATCACAAGGTTATGCAAAATGCTGTTGTAATGTATTCCCTATCAAATGCAATGATAGCCGAAGCAACGGCTTGTTTGAAAGCCATTTGTTGGGTTGCTGGATATGGGTTACAATGCATTACAGTAAAAATTGACTACCAAGTTTTGGTAAGATTGCTGCAAAAAGTTGGAAGAATTAATGGTTGGCAGATTGAGACTACTATTAGTGATATCATGTATTATAGTAAGTTTTTTTGACTTTATTCTATTGAGAAAGTGGGAACGAAAGTAATACAATCAGCTCACGAGCTGGCGACTGATGTACTTAAGTTCTATGCTTAATGATATATAGTTTATATTAGTACTCAAAAAAAAAAAAAAAAATCATTTTACTTATTTTTAGCAAACAAGTTTTAAAAATACATGTCTACTAAGCATATTTCCTTTTCATTTTGAAAAAATGTTCAATAATTTTTTATTAACAAATTACAACTTTTGTTTTTAGAAAAACATAAACATATTTATTTTCTACCAAAAAATAAAAAAAAAAGTTGTTGACTTACCAAATCTTAGGAGTGAGAAAAAAACTAAAAAATCATTCGCCTTATTTGGTTTTAGAAAATTGAGCCAACTTTTTCAAAAATAAGTTTTTTTTTTTTTTTAATTTTTTTTTTGTTTTTAGTCAATTTGTTTAAATATTTAATGAATCTGTTTTTTTAATTTTTTAGATGCACCTAAACCTAGATATAATTAAAAAGTATAAAATATTTATGAAAAAAATCTTTAAAAAATTCATCAAATACAAAAAATATGAAAAAATATAAAAATTCAGTATATTTTCATATTCTTATATATTTATTGAAAATTTTAAAATAAATTTTTACAAATATTTTACTTTTTAAATGCATTTAGAATATAAAAAAAATTTACTAAAAACAAAAAAAACATAAAAAGCAAAAAATTTAATTTTCAAAAAACAATCAAAATCAAACAAGACAATTAATTCTAAAAATAAACAGATCCTACTTCACGATTCAATCAGTTATTTTTTAGTTACAACTCTGTTTAAAACCAAATCGAACCATTTATACATATATAATTTGTTAATATTATCAAATGCATATACATATAACATGATATAACTAAATAATAATGTTTAGGTTATGGATAATATAAACCCTTCAATAACGCCCATCACTATTACAAGTTCCAAACCGACCCAACTGGAGAAGAGCGAGAGACAGGGAAGAATTCTCTTTTATGGGTATATCACTAATCTCTGAATCACTAAATAACAACCCATTTAAATTATCATTTATTCTTGGAATTATTTGATCTCATGTTGATTGCTCTGATTTGGTTTTAACTTTTATTGATCTGTTTTTCTTATCTGTATTACCCTCATGTATGTTTTTTCTTTTATTGTCTGCTTTAGCATTTTTTGTTTGTATTTGATTCTCTCTGCACAATCTATAATTATTGCCTAAAATTAACTCTTTAATTATATGATTTATGTGGTTTTTCTAGCTGGGTATTTTCAAGTGTTATATATGGATTTTTGAGAAAGAGTTAAATTTGACTAATAATTGATTTTCTTCAAATTGAGTTATTTTTGTTTTTTGTTTTGTTTTTTTGTTGTGTTTTTAGTGAATTTTTTTAATATTTTAAGTAAATTTTTTACTTTCTAGATGCACCTAAAAAGTAAAATATGTGTGAAAAAATATTTAAAAAATTCATTAAATACATAAGAATACGAAAATATACTGAATTTTTATAGTATATTTTTTTGTATTTGATGAATTTTTTAAAGATTTTTTTTCCCTATGAATATTATACTATACTTTTTAAGTATATCTAGGTTAGTTGCATCTAAAAAATAAAAAAAAATTCTTATAATATTAATTTTTGATAAAAAACAAAAAAAATAAAACATGAAAAATAAAAAAACTCAAATTTCTGAAAAGTGGGCTCAAATTTTTGAAACCAAACAATCTATCCCAATATTGTATTCTAATTGGAAAATGTTTGAGGGCCATAATGGCTCAAAACTGTCAAAACGACATCGTTTTGGCATGTTTTGCACCCAAAACGACGTTGTTTTAACAATTTTGAGCCATTGTGGCCACAAAAATTGTGACCCTCTAGCATTGTTGATTCTAATTATCAACAAAAGTAGGTTATAACCATTTTCTGGAATGACATTTATTCCAGAGTGCCTTTATAATCTGTGTACTTCTAGATATGGAAAATTTTGAGCAAATAAAATTTGGAGTAATGAAACTCTGGAAACTGTCATGAATTATGGGAAAATCTTGGAAAGATGGATTTATCATCCCTTAAAGATTGAATTCTAGCATTCCTAACCTAAGAAACATCACTCAAGCATTTCAACATTTAATCATGGGATTGGATGTAAAGTGAAGAAAAGGAACAAGGAGAAGCTTGGACTGTTAAAGAAAATGTAAGCACAGAATGAACAAATTTTATCACTTCTCTTCTCTACTCTAATAACTAGTGTATGTATGCATTCTCTCTCTGTCTCTCTCTTACACCCACTTATTCACCCACACTCTATAACATATGATACTATGTAGTTTATTTGAGCAGGATAAGTAAATAAAGGTATTGCCCAAAAATTATACTTCACAAGGCTAGGCTACAACAAATATAAATAAGGCTGAGATATTTTCTTAACATTCAACTTGGAGCAAACGTGTCTATCATGCCCAACTGTACATGGTCTTAATTTTGGTTACTCTCTGAATAGGATATCAGTAATTGAATTAGTATACCTCTATAAGTTTGTGGTGTTAGTGCTTTGTGGGTTTCTAAGTAACAGTGCTAGCAGGTTTATTGTCACCGTCCATGCTTAGATACAACTTGAAAGTTTAATTTTGTTCTTTAGACTTATTGAACACGGAGAAATTTGAATTTTTTGAAGTGCAGTCTAGCATGTAAGAAGGTAAAACATATGAATACATGTATATGTTTTGCTATAGACATTTGTATATCATAGATGTGAGTTATCTGGTTATATTTGTTCTTAGATGTAGTCATATTTTCTACATCTCCCGTCACCTTTGGTTTCTTGGTTTTCACAAATCTTTCCTTGCTTATGTTCAACACTAGAATGCTTCACACTGAGATTATGTTCCACACGTCTAGGAGTGCTACGATCGAATATATTACACCAAGATTATGTTCAACATACAAGTCTAGGAGTTCCATGATTTCTTAAGGATAGAAACATATGTTGTTGCTTTCATTATAATTATAGTTGTTTTTTTGGAAATAATGAGTGCAAAGGAAGGAATTTTATTTTTAAGTAGTGTTCCCACTAAATTTACTTCATCCCCCTAAGGAGAAATTTTTGGATCATCTCAAATGTATGCTCAAGGTCATGTGTAGGGATAGGGATGGCAACAAGGAAGATTGGGGGAGGATTTTGAACACCTTGTTCCCAACCTCATAACAAGGTAGGTGTCCTCGACCTTGCTCCATCCTGGATTTGATTTTGTACCCCATCCTTGCCCTTATAGGGGATGACTTTCCCAACTCCTACAGTTTTCATCCCACGGCCTTCGACATCCACCCGCCACCACACACCCTTCACTCCTTTCGTCGTCATGGCTTCACTCGCTCACTACTAGTTCACCATAGCCCCTTGACGACTTCTCAAAACCCCACCACACCACCATAACTCTCCCTTCTCCCCCTCTCCCTAAATCTATGACTACATATTTAGAGAGGAATATAGAGAGAGTGCAAGCAAGTGACACCACACCACCAAACCCCTATAGCCCCAAATCTCAAATCTGTTACAATTTGACACCATCACCCCCCTTTCACCACACTCCTCTAGCTTCGCCACCACACCACCACAACCCTTTGACACCACAACAACCCTTCTACTCTTCCTCTATATGGGCCAACTCCACCACACCACCACAACCCTTCACCACCACACCACCACCACCACCACATCCTTTTGGCACCACCATAACCCTTTCATTACTTCTTCCCGTCTTTGTGGCTCATCTAAAATCCCAGAACATTCTCATGATCTAAACCCCCACGGAGCTTGGAATAGTCGAGCTATATATAAAGGGAGAGGAGGGAGAAATCTATATAGAGAGAGTGAGAGTCTACTTGTTCAACTAGGGTGGAAAACCTAGATTGGATTGTGGTGAAAGGTGAAGAAGAGGAGGAAGAGGCTAACTGCTTACAGATATATAACCTAGTTTTGTATAAAATAGGATATCTAAACCCCCACCGAGCTTGGAATAGTCGAGCTATATATAAAGAGAGAGGAGGGAGAAATCTATATAGAGAGAGTGAGAGTCTACTTGTTCAACTAGGGTGGAAAACCTAGATTGGATGGTGGTGAAAGGTGAAGAAGAGGAGGAAGAGGCTGACCGCTTACAGATGTATAACCTAGTTTTGTATAAAATAGGATTTTTATAATATTGATAAGTATTGGAAGTATTAGAGGTATAAATATAAAAATATAAGAAAAGCAAATGGGACAAGGGTGCGGAAAACCCTTAAGATCGATCCTTACCCGTCCCAAATAGGTCTTTCTTATTATGGCTCAAATCGAACCCTAGGAATGGGGTTTGAAAGGATAACATGGAGCTAGCTCTAGATGGGATGGGATTAGGCAAACCCAACGAGTTTAGGGTGTTTATAGAACTTAGCGTAGACCAAGGTGGTGTTTGTCTTTGTGCCCTAAGGAAGATATTTTGTTTATAAGAAGAGCAAGAACAATAAGTTTCACTAGTATTAGATAGGAAAAATGCCAAATAGCTACATCGTACTTTTAGACAACACAATTTCTCTCTTATATCTGATGCCAATGGGTCTATGTGAGTCTCACGTTAAAACATTGTTAAAGCTAAAACTTTATTAAAGGAGTGAGGTGTCAAGGCTCTGTTAGGACAACCATTATGGCCAAGCACTTGCTATGTTGGTTGGCTTCAATAAAGTGCAAGCCAAATATGGTTTAAATTTTAAATTATGAATGGTTGGCAATTGTAACAACAAAGTTGTCCCAATTGGATGACTAGCTTAAAGTTTTGACTTTTACTGAATTGAACTAGGCATATTGAATCGGTTTGCTATGGTTAATTATTGACGGCCTTGCAATTGCTCTGGTTTTTAGCAAGTTCTGAGGGGGGTTTATTCCTAATAAGCAGCGATAGGGAAGGGACGCCCTATACCAAACCCAACTCACCACCATTCCTAGTCAGGTACTTATTATCATGGGCTTCAAAAATTATCTTTAAATTTTCAGGTAGAGTAAGGCAATTTATTATAAAAACTAAAAATAGGAAAGAAAATTTTAAGGATTGCTTGATATACATAAATTAAGGAGGAATAATTCATGGTCTCTTTATATTAGCTCATTTGTTGGGTTAGGGTTAAGAGTTAATTTGTTGAAATGCCATGTTGTTCTTTAAGCCAATGTAAGAGTATTTAATACGAAACTTAGTCTATCTTAGAGGTTGACTATTTGAATAATGCTCTTCATAATCTAAATTTTCTCATCATTTTTTACTTATATTCAAATAGGCATTTCCTTGAATTTTTCAAAAAGGCATTAACGAGATATGCATATTGTTATCTCCATTCTAAAATTTCTTTTCTTTTCTATAACTTTGATACTTACTACTATGCTCATCGAAGATGTCATACCAATCATTTCTCATTATCATCAGGTTTATGTCAAATTTATACAACGGTGTTGTTTCCACTTTCAACCTTTTTGGTTGTACTAAGAAGGCTGTGACAAATCAAGACTCATAACCTACTTTAAAGTTTTTGAATAGTACTGCTATTAATTCTTGAGTTAGCATCCTACAACTAATATAATCTTAGTACTAAATGTTTCTCAATCTTCTTCAAAGGAGTAGTACACACCCTTTTTTATAACTTAGTCGTTGCTTGGTGGTGGGACTTATTCAACATACTTTGAATATGGCGGTGACATGTATTCAACATTTAGGGGCATTGCTTGGTGCTATGGTAAAAACATGGATTTCCATGCTTGAGGATGAGAGCAAATATTAGTGTCTCCATTCTTACCACTCCTAGCACCCTTAATTACCGGGTGGGGACTAACACTATGTAATGCCCTAGGTTATTGTAAACATACGACACATGTTAGTTTCCAATTTATAAAATGAATAAGTTGATTTTTAGATCACGTAGTTCAATAGTTTACAAATAGGTGGAGTTTGCCCTTCAAGGCATAGTTAAGGGCTCCAACAGGGGAACCTTACTTCATTCACACTCTGATATGATCTTGATTTTTAGAATAATAAAGGGCAAGACTTTAGGCCTAAGATATGGTAAATCCTATCATTAGAATAACTTATCATTAATATTTCAATTATTTGGGTAGTTGATTTAGGAAGTTGTCTTGTTGTCCTTTACTTCCTTTTGCATTGCAATGCTTTATACATAATTGTAGATGCCATATACATATGGCTTATGAACGAAGAAATAACATAATTGCCTAAACGCTTTGTGGAGGCTAGATTATCTTGAAGTGATCTAATTGGAGGTCCAATCCGCTCAAAGTGATCGATTTCCTTCTCTAGTTGTTCTTTTATTTTTGGATTGATCCTATAACATTTATTTTTGAATTACCCCATGGCTCTTTGCCTTAAATGGATTAGTTTTGATTCGTATGGGTAATCAAAAAACGAAACCAACCATTGTACTCTTCCATGCTACAATTCATATGCCAAAAGATCTGATGTCACTTCACAAAATCGTCACCTCAATGATGTTACTATAATTTTTATCCTTTCATTATAGATTTTATTTTCTTTGGAAATCACTACAAATCCCAAATGTTTAGTCAAAGTCTCTGGCAATGCCATCTTTTTTGGCGCCCAATACTTTAGAGGAGAGGGGTCTAGAAGTAAGGATAAACAATGAATGCTTAGGCTCTGAAGAAAGAGATAAAATGGAATATTGCATTTGTGAAAAACCTTAAGAAGGTTACAGACTTCATCAACAGTAAAGCAGATTTTAACAGAGGTTTTCACTACTGCGGTTAGATTATAATGTATTCCCCGAATGATGGTTAAGTTATAGGCTATGATTTGCATACAAGAGTAGATTGAAAGCAGACTTGGGAGTTTAGAAAAATGAAATGAAGAATTGTAGATTTTTTTTCCTTCTTATTTTATGTATTCTTTTCATCTATATTGTTTACTGAAAAGAAGTGAATTATGTGACATGAAGATTCATTCGTTCCTCAAATGTATGTTGCTGAGTACGAAAAAAGGTATGAAGATTGAAGAGTGCCATAAAGAACACAATAAGCTGACACAGTTTCCACAGGACATATGTGCATGTGTGTGTTAGGTTCTTATGTAGATATACTTCACTATGTAAGATTGATAATAGATTTTCCAGCAAACAAAGCTAGCTATAAACTATAAGGGAAATGGAAAAACTAACAATATAAATTGTACTTATGGACTGGAAGTATCTATGTGCTTTAAGTTTTTTACCCTCAGAATTCTTTTTATTTATGCTTTCTATCTTAATGCAGTTGTACAAGGTTATTGTTTGTATCATCTTCAGAGCCAGCTGAATAGTGGTCACATCTTACAACCTTCGTTCCAAGTTTTGTCTTTCTGCAATTATGGGCTGAGAGGAAGACAATTTCTTTGATCTCTAAAGGTAATTTACCTGGTTGTTGGCTTTGATTATCCTCGGTACTGATTGTGGACAGAGAAATAGAGGTTGCGTTTGGTAGAGCTTTAGAATTATGATTTGAGAATAGAGTTATATTTTGAGTTTGTGAGTTTTGGAATTATGATTTGAGTGTGGAAAATTTGTTTGGTTATGAGTTTGAAAAAGAGTTTGAATTGAGTGATGTGACATATAATATTGAAAAGTGGGTATTTTGAAAAGTGTTTTGAAAAGTGAGTGTGGAATTAATTTTCTAAAGTTATAATCAAACAACACACTCAAACTAAGGGACATAATTAAAATTCAAAAGCTCTACCAAACGGAGCCAGAATGTTTGGGAGTATAGTTACAAAGAGTATTTGTTGTTTTCCACCTTGACCCACATGCATTGCACAATACTGGCTTATGAGATGGTCCACGTCTCCAAATTGTACTGACTGTTCCAATTTGTTATCTATTAGCATTTGAAGAAGAAAAAACCAACTACTAGTTCATATTTACACTCCCATACACTGCTGAAAGGACATAATATTTTGATGAACTAATATAAGATATATAGGTAAACTTGACAAATGAATTCCTTCGGAGAAATAAAACAAAATTGCCACTTATGTCTCCATTAGTATAAAAATCATCCCCTTTTATTCTTATTTCTTCGGCGACAATTAATAGGATCAGTCAAAAGGCTAGAAAGATTATAGAATGAGGGGAATATTTAGTTGTCAGAGTCAAACATAAATGCATTAACTATTGTTTACATAAAACTGCACTTACACACGTGCCAAGTATGAAGCAAAGAAACAGACAAAAATTACTATTATGAGATATTAAGCCATTTAAAAATGCAGCCGCAAGTCAAAATCGACAAAGTTTTTCTCATTTCTTTCTCTCTCTCTCTCTCTCTCCCCCTCGATATATATATATATATATATTTTTTTTTTTCATAAGTAGTCAAAATGGATTTGTAAATGGAATCTTGTCAACTATTAGCTTACCAAGGAACCTCTTTGGTTTAAGGGTTCAAGAAATACCTGCATTAGGAATCAAATTGATAAGAAAGATAAAATTTGGAGAAGTCTTTTTGATTCAGAAGACATCTCTCCACCTGATGGAGGGCATGGGAAAAAGAATTTCAACAAATTAGGGATTTTACACAGTGCCTAAACAGGACGTCGTGTAATCAAGTTTTGGTGTGATTTAAGTCTTCTTTTCTGTTTCAAAAGGTTAATAGTTACTAGAATTTATTTACATTCTTAGGTTTTATGAGTTAGTGTTAATTAAATAATTTTTAGAATTGCTGGAAAAAAACTACCATTTTGCTTCATGGATTTTAATAAGTCAGGTTATGTCCTTTCGGTCTTATATATACTTTTTGTTAGGTTTAGATATTGTATTTAGTCAGAATTTCTCAATTTCCTAATTTGGTGGTTTAGTTTTTGTTGAAATATGGCAGTTTATCGATACTCTTGTAATTTTGTTCAACGAGAGTTGAGTTATGAAAATTGGAGATTGTGTTTATACGATTTTGGCATTTTGCTTAACCCTTGCATTGACGAAGTTCTTTTTCCTACTCCCCCTGTCTTGTTATTCCTTTTGTCTCTTTCTATTTATTTTCTTCACATCATACCTAAGAAACTGTTCAAAGCCCAATAAAAGCTCTTGTTTTGTCTCAAATCTCTTTCCAATCAACCCTAGATCAATCCTTTATCTTAGCTTTTGCCTTTAATATTATACTAAAACTTCAGCCAAAGGATTCAAGCATTTCTCTTTGAAAATCCAGCAATGATAGGCTTTCTACATTGAGTTGATTCCACCCCTTCCTCATGTAGAAAATGTAAAAGCTTTATTCAATTCTATGAGCCAAATCAATTGCAAAATGTTTAATTTTTTCTAAGCTGTCCTACATCACCACCCTACCAAACGAAGGCTTCTCAAGTCCATTTCAACACTAGTCGACTAACATGTGATCATCTAACATCTCTTAGACTAAAGAAGCTTTTTTTTTTTTTTTTGATATGTTAACAAAAGCTAGTTATTAACTTCTCGTGCTTTTTTGCTCAATATCATAATGACCCAATTATTAGTAACCTTCAATTGCTAATATGATGTTTAATACCATTATGCATAGTGGTGGAGATCCACAATATAGTACCCACCCATAATCCTTGTTGAGGGTTTTATACTTTACATGAACTTTGCGAGAATGCATTAACATGTAGGAAATGCATAGGGATGGAGTTTTTAAATAGCTTGATATAAATTGTTGGTCTCATTTCCTAACAGCTTAGGCTTTTGGGAAAATTGGTGACTTGACATGTTATCAGAGCTTTGGTTGAGAGAGGTCTTGGGTTCAAGTCTCTTCGTTGGCATTTGGTATTATGCCCCTCGTTTGGTTTTTTTCCTCTTTGCTTGATTGTTTGCTTCTCCTTTTGTTTGGTTCTCTGTTTGTCTCTCCACATGCAAGACGGGGTTGCACATGAGGGTGGGTGTTAAATATCTTGATATACATTGTTGGGTCCATTTCCTAGGTGCTTTTCCCAAATTAAGCCAAATTAGCAACTTAATTCCCAAACTAGGCCTAGTTTGGACGGAATTCCCAAACTAAAGCGCTATTACAAATCACGCTTTCACTGTTTCTAGGACCCTCCCGCAGAAAATTTGTGAAATAGTAAAAGCGTGGTTACAAACCACGCTTTTAATTAAGAAAGCGTGGTTACAAACCACGCTTTTAACAATTTTTTTTTCTTCTAGAAAACGTGATTAGGAACCGCGCTTTTAATTAAATCATAAAAACGTGTTTTGAAAACACGTTTTCACTGTTGCACTCACTCTTCATTTTCACTTTCATTCTCACACTCACACTCACACTCACACACTCTCTCTCTCTCTCTCTCTGACACGTACACACACACCCACCACACTCACATTTTTTTAATATATATAATAATAATTTATAATAGCAAATAATAATCAACTATATAATTTTTATAATTTTTGTAAATATAAATCATTTTTATATAATTTTTATTTTTTGAGTGGTTAGAAATAATTTTTTACAAATTAAATTGAAACAACCATACGCATGTATATAATCTGCCCAAAAGTTAAAATGATAATTATTTTTTACCCTTAAATGATAATTATTTTTTATTTTTTATTTCTTATTTTTTAACCAAATTAATTTTTAATTTTTTAAAAAAAATTCTAAAAATCAAACCATACATAGCCTAAAAATCTTTTGATAAGTCATTTCTTACGTTGGTAACTTATTTAATTATTTGTTAATTTTACGACATTTTTACCATTTGAGGCATGTTTGGTAACCATTTCGTTTTCAGTTTTCAATTTATATTTACAAAATTTTTAAAAACTATTATAAAAACTTGTTTGATAATTTTTTGGGTTTATAAATGGTTGTCTCAATTGTAAATTTGAGGAAAAAAGGTAAATTCAAAAAATGAGTTTATATTGGTTTTTAAACAAAAATTTAAAAATTTTACTAATAATTTTTTTTTTCAATTAATTTTATTTGATTTTTTTTTTTTTTACAAACTAACGTAAACTCATTTTTTGAATTTATTTGAAAAAAAATTAATTGAAAAAATTTTTTGTTAGTAAATTTTTTAAATTTTTGTTTAAAAACCAACGTAAACTCATATTTTGAATTTACGTTTCTTCTTCAAATTTACAAATTGAGACAACTATTTATAAACTAAAAAAATTATCAAACAAATTTTTATGATAGTTTTTAAAATTTTTGTAAATATAAATTGAAAATTGAAAATTAAAAATGAAATGGTTACCAAACATGTCTCAGATGGTAAAAATGTCGTAAAATTAACAAATAATTAAATAAGTTACCAACGTAAGAAATGACTTATCAAAAGATTTTTAGGCTATGTCTGGTTTGATTTTTAGAATTTTTTAAAAAAAATTAAAAATTAATTTGGTGAAGAAATAAAAAATAAAAAATAATTATCATTTAAGGGTAAAAAATAATTATCATTTTAACTTTTGGGCAGGTTATATACATACGTATGGTTGTTTCAATTTAATTTGTAAAAAATTATTTCTAACCACTCGAAAAATAAAAATTATATAAAAATGATTTATATTTACAAAAATTATAAAAATTATATAGTTGATTATTATTTGCTATTATAAATTATTATTATATATATTTAATATTGGTCCCAAATTATAAAATAAAATTTATTTATATTAAAAAAATGTGAGTGTGGTGGGTGTGGGTGTGTGTGTGAGAGAGAGAGAGAGAGAGAGGGTGAGTGTGAGTGTGAAAATGAAAATGAAGAGTGAGTGCAACAGTGAAAACGTGTTTTCAAAACACGTTTTTATGATTTAATTAAACGCGCTGTTCCTAATCACGTTTTCTGGGAAATTTTTTTTGTTTTGTTAAAAGCGTGATTTGTAACCACGCTTTCTTAATTAAAAGCGTGGTTTGTAAATACGCTTTTACTATTTCACAAATTTTTCGCGGGAGGGTCCTAGAAACAGTGAAGCGTGGTTTGTAATAGCGCTTTAGTCTAGTTTGGGAATTCCGTCCAAACTAGGCATAGTTTGGGAATTAAATTGCTAATTTAATTTGGCTTAATTTGGGAAAAGCCCCCATTTCCTAGCTGGCTTTTGGGAAAATTGGTAGAACTTAATAAAAGACCGTGTAATAGGACTAACTCAACTTTCATGGTGATCATGTATCCACTATGCTATTGATCATTATTTTGATTACTAGGAAAGTTACAGTGTCACGAAATTGAGTCAATGGATTTAGTGAAGAAAACTATAAACCTCAAACTTCTCTTCACTCACTATTTATGTAAGAGGTCGTCAATCAAATTGGGTAGTGCCATCCTTCACGTGGAAGCACCATTTTAATTTAAAGAATTGAAGCCCAATCACAATGATCTATAGGGCACGACCTATAATTTCTCATATTTAAAGCTCCATCAGCTTATGTTTCAAACTATCAGC